GATCTCACAAGGGGAGCCAAGAAGGATGATTGCGCAACCATTGTTTTTTCACTTATTCCTTCCCATGTGCTTGTTGCTTATTTGTTGCTATGTTGTTCAGTCAAGTCCCAGTCGCCATTTCCTGAGCGAGAAAATGTCTAGTACAAAGCAACACTCATATCACGCGACGGCACCTACACGACTAATCCGAATCCTCGCAACATCTCAACCCATGTCTTCTTCAAACCACGTTTCCCGTAAATTTGTGTAAGTTACCACAGTAAATTCAGCCACCTGTTTCTATCTCTTGAGCTCCGCGCTAAAATAAATAACCGAGCAAAGGGCAACAAGTGGTCAGTCTGTTTTATCGCGACAATTTCAAGACAATCATACCTAAATATTATTAATGCTATCAGAGTCCGAATAGCCAGGGATTAATCACTTTATTAACAATCGCTATTGATAAAAATACTAATCCATCAGTAATGAATAATCAAAATATCTTCAACACAGTCTTCTCTACGATTACAGTCCAGGAGAATGTTTACTGAAGATTTGTTTCACTGAATATTATGTTAGCAATTTTAACAAACAGTTCTTGATCGAAATCCTGAATCGCATTGCGCACTTCAGTGAAATTGAACATGTCACGAGCCATCTGTGTCATTGACATCTGAATAGGAGATTTTTGACGATCTAAGGAAAAGCAATCCCTCATTTATTTACTCTCGACTTCGATGAAGCTCGCAAAGTAGCAAAGTCATGTATTGGACTGTGAACCGCAATATATTGACGAGTAAACAACATTCGTCCGACAGACAGAAAACCATTACTACTTATAAAACACTTTGTTGTCGGAACTATGCCTCTATAAAGGAGTAATGTGATGCTCCTCACTCAGGAGTTATCACGAAAACTGCAGATTATGAAAACAATCACCAAACAATTACTCCAAAAGGAATTCTAGGCTTGAAAACGAAATTTCCGCTAGGCGGCGTACATACATGTACAATGAAAGATTGCTGCCGTTTCCAGCATCAACGGTGGCAGCTTACTGGATCAAGTTATTCAAACGTTTGTGAAAACTTCGTTCTTCATATAGGTGTGAGAGATAGAAGATAACATTGCGGTGTCAAGAATTACGCTTCATCAATATCGATGAACTATTTCCAGCGATCAGCAAAAATCATCTGGATCTCGAGTAACTCACTTTCCCGAACAATGTAGATCTTACAAGGGAAGGATCCCAAGTCGAAGAGGCCATTTGAAATGGGACCTATACTGCTGGAGATATTTTTTGATGCTGATTTCAAATCTGCATTCAAAATCTGCCAAACGATTCTCTGAACGAAGTTATGGAGGTGGTCTCCGGAGAGCGCTCAACAGGGGAAAGCACAAAAGCCATGGTCGCCGGCAGTACAGCAGTGGCAGCTTGGAGTAGAGGTAAGCGTGGCGCTTCACAGGCGCGGGGTCAAGGATCGGTTTTGATGGGCGGCGGCCTTTTTGCATCTTGCAGGACTTTTTTCTCCAAGTTGGAAAAATCTTCTTATGTTAGTGTTACTGCCTTTAGCAACATTTTAGTTTCTCCTCTACCTTGCGGAATCATTTTAGGAAGACCTCGATATCGAGACTGCGTGATTGAGGACGAGGAGGCCGATCCAATGTGGGTCTCCATAACTTCGTTCAGAGAATCGTTTGGCAGATTTTGAATGCAGATTTGAAATCAGCGTCAAAAAATACGCCTAGCAGTGTAGGTCCTATTTCAAATGGCCACTTCGACTTGGGATCCTTCCCTTGTTGGTTTCACATTTACCGTCCAACTGTAGGCGGTTCGATTCCGAGGGATTTCGAATTGACAAGAATGCGTTCTCAGAGGAGAGATGTCAAGTGAAAAGGAAGGGTTTGTGGACATGATGTTGTAATGATGTAGCTTCTATTCTATTGACATTACTATTGATAGGGGTATAGATGGGAATGGGGTTGGAGATAATATACGTCGCGCTATTCTGATGAGCATACGAACCCTGCTGTAGAGGTCAGCCAGAACGCCCAACATTTCGAACAGAGCGATCCCTAGGAGGGTAAACACACTAACTGTCATTAACTGGTCACTGTTAGCAATTGTATTAACCAAATTCGTGATTGAATTTCGTTGCAGTTCTCGAGATTATCGTATGATCTGAATACCCCAAAAAGAAGAATTTTGTATTCTGAGTGAATATGTAATGAAGTTCTGTTTTGCAGCTACACCATAGGTGATCCGGATGAAAGTCTACGTATTACTTGTATATGTCTCGATAAAAATCGCTCAAGACTTATTGTTGCATATAATAATCAAGTTGTAAGTTTTGAATCTTTGCTCACGTACCGTAGTATGTATGGCAACCTGAAGGGAAAGTCATATGGTTTTTGTCTTTTGATACGATTTCAGATCCGCGAATATGCCATTTCTGATGAAACACCTACCCTTGCTCGTACCTGGAAAACTATGCATACCGCTCCTATACTATGTATGAAATTCAACGATGAAGGATCATTGCTAGCGACGGGTTCAGCGGACCACAACGTGAAGGTACCAGCTTCCATCTTGAGGTTGAAGTTTGTTCTAATTACCGACATGGATGAAATGAGTAGCCACACGCTCCGAATTCTTCACTTATCGCGAACAATTGCATTTTGGTTTGATTATTCACTGATTATTGAAATGAAAACTGTACTGAGTTTCAAGAACACACCTTCGACAATTTCAGTCATTGAAAATAGTCATTGAAAACAGTTTTCATCATTGAATTTCACTTCAATAGCTGGAATCGCTACACATGTCTTACATTGTCGTATTTTGATTCTTTTGATTAGCTTTATTAGGCCTGACAGCTTCATCAGTAGTAGTGTTTAGGTATGGGACATGGTCCAGCAACATTGTACCCACACGTTGAAAGGTGTTGGCGTCGTCACAGCGCTGTCTTTTATTCACAGTAGTCGTTTAATGGTAGGATATCTGGAAGGACAAGTTTGTATGTTCGATTTGGTAAAAGGAGCTATCCAGAAACTGTTGCGAGAATGGAGAACGCACAGCAGGTAAGGACTGCAATGGAGTGTGCATACTATTGAATGTCTTCCGCTATCAGCGTGGTCCTTGGTATCTCTATGTCTTATATCAAGGGTCGCTGGATGAATTTAGAAAGCAACACTCATACTATTCCTTTTTTCTTT